TACAAATGCCAAGAATAGTGATAACCCATCTTCAACAAGTTTCCTGTGTCTGGCAGGGATCCAAGGCATCCTCATGTTTCCTGTGAAGATGTGGCATGCACTGTGTATTCTGCATTTGCAGAGCAAGAAAGTGAAAGAAGAATTTGTGGAAGTAAATTGATACAGTGTGCAACACATGTTTGTGAGGCCTAGATATCTTCCCTCCCTTTTCTGTAAAAGCAGAACCCCAAAATTCTCTGCAGGTGCCCACCTTAGCAGCAGTGTTGTATAGGGAAGTGAACAGGCACAGTGCTTGTGGCTTACCAAAGAGTTCATGTGGAAGTGATCTCAGCAAAAATACCTTGCTGTTTAAATGCTACAAACTACCTCAGTATTTTGAGCGGAGTCCTGCAAACTGTTTGTATATAAATCTGCCATAAATGAAAATGACCTACTGGTTATTTTGTGTTTATTTCAGTATTTGAAACCTTCACATTTTGCTGTTAGCTGGTCCAGACCCAAGGTGCAGTGATATTTTAAAGGTGGGGTGCTGTTAGGATAGCGGTGAGTAGAAGTGTTGGTGCCTGTTTTTTCAAGGATTTGGAGAGGCATTGCTGACATATAATAATGCTGTCCCTTCAGTGCTGCGTGGCTTGCATCACAACCAGTTGAACCAGCTGGTAGGTTCAAAAGTCAGCAGCAAACTGTCTGCTGTTGAATTGTGCTTTTGGGGTGAAAAGAGGCTGTAAATACAAATGAGCTCCAGAATGGCCTCCAGTCCCTTGCAGATGTACTGTTCTTCAGCCTTACAAGAGTGCAGACAACTTCCTAGTTTTGTGACACTGAATTCTACAGAAATTCTGAACTTGTAATCATTGACCAAGTTACCTGGCAGTTCAACAATCTGGAATGTTGTCATCAATAAAATAGCTCTATAAACAGTATCCCAGGGATTTCTGAATGAGCACAAACCTCAGTTCCTCCAAGGAAGATGAAAAATCACTTCCAAACAACAGCAATCATGGTACGAGTCAGACACATGCTCCTACAGTGCTTAAGGGGGTGGTAAGGAGCAGATTTCTGTACATTTTATCCAGGTACAGGATACTTAATGAAAATACTGTTATACTTTGACATTAATCTTGCTACTAGGTGGAATATTGCTTGCCCTTACCTTCCTTTTTATTGCTTACTTTCTGTCTGCCAGCCCTGTCCTTCAGCTTTTCTCCCCAGGCTGCCTTTTCAGACCCAGCAGGTGGGGCCTTGCTCTGGAATCGTGCTCTGACATCTTTTCTGCTAACAGGGACGTAGCTCAGTGGTGCTTATTTGGGGTGTTTGTCTGGTGGTCCTGAGCTGGATGTCGTTTTTTAAGGTGTGAAATGTGGAAAGCTTGTTTAGATTGGAGCTGCCAGGATGTTTGAGGGCTTGCAGCACGCTGGTGTTTTTTTTAGTTTCGGGTTGGGGGTTTTTTGGTAGTTTGAAGTCTTGTTGCTAGGGCATTGTTGAGTCATTTTACTGATATATCTGGATCAGTTTATATCCTTCTTGTGCTGTGAAATTTAATTCCTTCTGTCATTTTTCTTCACATTTTGTTTCCTGGGCAACAACCTGACTTCTGAAGGCAGAGCTCTTCTCTTTAAAATCCCTACACTGTTACTAAAACGATCAATAAATCAATAAATACTGATCCTGAAGTGCTGCCATTATGTTTTAAAGCTGATCCCAAGCTAATTAATAGGAATACAAACCTCTGAGTTATTCCTTCAGCCCGCAGCTATCCATTTCAACCTTTCAAAAGCAAGCATATTGTTGTTATGTGGTGTGGTAGATCTTTTAGGTATTTTGAATATTGTCCTGAAAGGCTAAATAGGTATTTTGGAAAAAATAATTGCTGTTGAGTGCAGATAATCTTGTATTTATTATGGGCAGAATGACCAGCATGTTGAAAACAACACGGACCGGCGCTGTCGTGTTCACATCCATGCCCATCAGTTTTATTTCAATTTGACTGTGCTGTTGCCAAGCAACAAGTGCACGACTCCCACATTTGCCTGCCTACTCACTGCTTCCTTATCAGCTCATTTGTATTCCAGAAAAATACAACAAAACCTAAATTTCAGTCTGCTTTATTGAAAGCAGTCTGACTAAGAAGCCCTGTTGCTTGCACCTAGCACAGGCAAGGTCTGGGGAGAGAGCACAGCCCTGGAACTTGGGAGAGCCATCTACGTTCATACACATATGCACATTTTTTGTGTCCTAACTTTCCAATCCTGTACCTGTATCTGGCAAACCCCACAAGCCCATTCCCTCTTCCAGGCTTCTATGAGCATGCTTCAGACTTTGAAGTCTTGAGTAGCGAGTCACTCCGTACAGGGCCTTGCAGTGTGCCCCAGACAACTGCTGGGAAACAGTGTTGTTTTTACAGAGTTGCTGTTCACTGAATAGTCTCATTATGGGTGAAACGTTCTCAGAGCATTTAAACTTGATTCCATGTAGATTTTTTTGCATGTGATAGAACTTGACATCCTGTATTCAATTGTTCAGCAAAGATGTGTTTGGTATTTCATGTAATTTCCTCAACTCAAGGCAGTTTAGTCATAGCACCTCACTTTGTGAGTCCTGTCTTACCTTGTGAGCTAAGCTGCTTTGAACTGTGTGGGACGAAGCCCTACGAGTGAGGTGATTCCAGGAAATGCCTCCTTCTGAACGTGGTAAGTGGGTTGATACTGTTTTTGAGTCAGTCACTACTTAGCAAATACAGGCACTGTCTACAGAGAGAGGCAGGCTGTGACATGGCTTTAGTAGTGGTTCTAGGCAGTGGGATTTATCAGTTCCTATCAGATTATTTTGCCTGGAGAAAATGTATGGAATTTGTGCAAGCAGGGAACTGTTTCAGACTTCTGGTAGCCACTTCATGTGATGAGGTACTTTACTGGCCATTGTAGGAACCATGCACATACTGCTTATGGTTTAGGTTGTCTAAACTTTTACTTGGATAACTTGCTTTTGTCTACCTAAAATGTATATGAAATGCCAGGCTTTGGTTTTGAGGGTTAGGTTTTCTGTCCTATTAAATATGGAGGGTCTTCATTTGAGAGGGAGAAAGAGGTACCTTTTCTAGAGGATAGACCTGTGCCTGAGGTGTTTGCACCTCCTGAAGGGCAGGAAGGGGAGGGGTAGACCCTATGTTACTATTATCTCATCAGCTTATTAGTAAACAATACTAGAGATACATCAGTATCAAAATAATATAATTTAATTTAACCATATTTCCCCCCCAGAAGACTTGAAGATTGAGCCACATGCCTGCTTGAAATGGGTTTGCATAATAAAATCCTTTCTTCAGTGATATTACTATGTTTGTTTGAAAAGAAGCACCATCACTAATTCAGTTCAATACAAACATAACTTTATTTTTACTTAAATGCCAATGAAATAACTGTACAAATTCATTGTGTAACATTTACTGTTAGAAATTAAAACACGTTTCTGGTTATAGAAATACTGTTCACAATTGGAAAGTTGTGATTTCTTTGATAGCAGTGGTTGTAAATGGTCTACAGCCCTCATGGACACCTAGGAGAAATAGGTGGAGGACTCCAGTCTCCATAGTGAGGTTTTCTGGGTTTTGCAGCACCTTCATGCTACAATAACTGGAAATTAAGTGGCCTGAAATGAATGGAAAACATTGTATAAAGATTGGTAATATTAAGTGAATAATACTTTTTCAGTGAACTAGTTCTTCAGTTTTCATTTCATGCTGTTTGCAGAACTTCATCTGTAGTATATCAGGTACCTTTGCCACATAATTTAAGTTATTTTCCTAGAGTGGACAGAACCATGCTTGCAACTATTTCTACTCGCTGATGGTGCAGATGTCAAGGAGAATATCATTCATGCTCATCCTTATAAAGCAAGGATCTGGGCATGTTCAATGCCATGCACTGAATTTTTAAGTCACAAGATTCAAGGATTGTTCCATGACAGCTTGACAACTAATTGCTTAATTGATTTGTTACACAACCTGTATTAGAAATTGGCTGATATTTCATTTTACTGATCAAAAAGTACTAGTTAGATACATTCTGGCTGGTTTGCCATACTCTTTTAAGCATACTATATTAACATTTCAGATTTTTTGGGTGTCACTTGAAATAAGCTAAAGAGTTCCATTTCATTAGTTGGTGTCAATAACTCCTTGCTGTTGGAGAGTGTCATGGCAGTGAACATCTTGCATTTTCCTCTACTTTTATCTTTTTTTTCATTAATATGGAGAGTGAGAAATAACTTGCCTGCAGTCTCTAAGTCAAGACAGAGCAAAAAGAGATATCAGCCCCTACCACTTTTCCCATGCTGAAGTTGGACCATGTTGCCTTCTCAGTTTACACCCTCATGGGTGTAGACATCATGGCATTGTCATATTTAATTCCTAAATTCAAAACTGTTGTTCTTCGTATTTAAAATATCCTAATACATATGAAGCAAACATAGATATACATGCTAGCAATTTTTCTCAGGAATAACTTCTGATTAGTGAAACAGCTAGGCTTAGTTCCTTTAGCTTTCCCTTCCTTTTGCATGTTGTCATAACTTACAAAGAATCTGTGCTGCTATATTACAAGAGTTGCTCACTGGCAAGTCAAGCAAGACAATGCAGATATGATACAGGCCTTCTATTTTTTTTTCCAGTTGTTTAATGACAAAATCATACATAAAATCAGTACTTAAAATTCTGATGTTTTATTCTGTGCAAGTAAAATTAAAAATATAAATACAAAATAAGCACATTTTAAAAAACAAAATCATAGGTTAGTTTTACTCAATTAAGACATATTAAAATAAGTAGCAGCTTAGTATCAAGACATTAGTGTGCACTTCTTTAATGAAGAACTGTTATTTTCTTCAGATCAGAGCCAGAGCTTTATATTTCTCATGTTTTGATTCATTATTTCAACTGGATGTCTTAACTCCAGCTATGTATCACAGGAATGAACTCAACAATTTGCACAAAACACAAGCCCTTAGCCAATAAGCATTGCCACTGCATTAAGCATTGCAACAGAAACCAAATATATCTCACAGACACTTGCTGTGGAGGGCACACGAGTATTCAGGATACTTGTAGTGGATTCCTCTTTCCTTAGGGTGGCCGTTGTGCTTTGAGGCATTCTGGAGTAGTTTGTTGGCATGCCACTGGTAATACTTAAAGTCATAGGAGTGGTGGAGGATCCTGTTGAATGTGCCAGGCTTGAGTTCAGCTCGGTGGGATCTTTGATGTGGACTGTGTGTGTGGCTGCTGCTTCTTGGGAACGGACCTTCCCAGTGGTCACATCTTCTGGGTAGAGGAGCAGTGGTCGGTCTGTGCTCGTAAACAGCACGGTTTGGCTTAAGGTCCCCAAGGTAGGGACCTCCTTAGCAGCTTTAAATTGTTTATGCATCTTTATCATTTTGGTTGGTTCTGCTGGCACTGGAGAAGTAGCTTTGTCTGCTCCCTTCATTCCTTTAATCATGAGGCTGGAGTCTGTGGGAGCAGCTGAAGTTGGTGTGGCACCCATCCAGAGCACAGGCTGGTTAGCACAGGGAGCCCCGAGGACACTGGCAGCTGTTCCCTGCACCCATTTCAGCAAATAAGCAATATTTTGTTCATCGCTGCAGGACCAGGGGTTGTTGTACAGAGTTACTACTTGCAGCTGAAAGAGCTGGTCAAAAGCTTTGTCAGGAATGTATGTGAACTTGTTGTTGTGTAGGTAGAGGCTTGTAAGGTGCTGTAGTCTCACCAGTGTTCCTGGAAGTATCTGAGACAAGAAGTTGTTGGACAGATCCACCGTCTCTATGTTGTAGGGCATGTTGGTTGGAACTGTCCAAAGTTTGTTGCTACTGAGATTGAGAAACTTGAGGCTGCTCAGGGTGTTGTTGATCAGAACAGCTCTTTCCACCATATTCCTGGAAATATCGAGCACTTTAAGATTCCACTGGTAAGCTGTGTCGAGTTTCTGGAGAACTTTAATGTTGTTGTTTATGGCATATAATTCCCATAAGGACTTGGGCAGATGAGCAGCAATGTTCTTGAGCCAATTACTTGAAATATCAAGGGTCCTCAGATTGGTGAATCTCGTTAGCTGATGATCGAGATCTACAAACTGGTTAAAGGACAGATTTAAATATGTAATGTTGTCTTGAAGTCCATGTGGCAGTATAGTTAAGTTTCTGCCTGAACAGTCCACATTCCTGTCGTTTCCTGAGCATGTACAGTTAGAAGGACAGATACCCAAGACAGTGGGTATGAAAAACAGAAGGACCAGCAGACAGGTAGATGTGCTTAATATCTGGTATTCCATTGTTGCCTGAAAATAAATATACCAAAATGACACCCTTTAAATCCATGTAATATATTTTATTTCTTTATAAGGGTTGTCTTTGCAATTACCACTTGCAGGAGAAATTAAGTAAAAATATCAATAAACCCCTTTGTGTCCTGGTCCTTTTTAGAATTGTTCAAGAGAGACTTTACAAAGCATCCCTTCATAGACTGTCATGTTGTCTGGCAGAATGAGACTTGTTTTTTCATCTCCCTTTCCCCCTCAAGCTCAAATGAGGGCTTTCTTCCGAAAATGCAAGTCTCTTCCAAATGTTATACAATGTCTGCTTCTTGTTTTTAGTGATTTCAAGCCTATATTATGTTTGGAATAATGTGTTCTTTTATACAGGATGAAAAAATGGCTGTCAACTGGATCTGCTTTACAAATCTCTGCAGTAACGTAGCAGTCCCCCCCATACATGCATGCTATTTGCTTAAGGAGAACTGGTTAAAATGCATCTTAAATTGTTAGGAATTTAGTTTGAAACCCAAATTTCATGTTCATGCTAACATGCACATTATTCTTTTTCCTTATTATAGTGTTAGTCACATTCTCAAAGCTGGTAACACATATTTGAAAGCTGAATTAATCTTAGTAAGAAATCTCTGATACTGCAGCAAATTTCTGGTGCAAGCATCTGCCATCAACTAATAATTTCGTTCTTATTTCCATCTCTAATATTGTAGTAGGTTTTTTGTGATCAAAACCAAACCCCACAAACTTACCGTAATCTCTTCTGCAGTATCAGCACATAATTTCTGTGAAAGATTAAAGCTTAGAGGTCGTCCTGTTCTAGAGAGTAGCTCCAGTTGCTGTCTGTGGACTGTGCTTGCCTCTTCAGCTGCATCGTATTGCTGCGAGCCGGGGCTCTGCAACCACCTGATCTGCTCCACACTGGAGGACTGCAGAGCTGTCGCTGGTGCTGACTCAAATTTATTGCAAAGCGAGCGTACCCAACAAAACAGTTGGGTTTTATAACTGGAATCAGTTAACTTCTCCATATCTGTGTTTTATGCTCAGTTAATGCCTCAAAGCATAACATGTAAGACTGCTACGTAAACGGTGCCGACTGAAATTGCTGTAGGCTGTTCTGGCTTCAGCTGGGATTTCATTTCAATGTGCCTGTTTAAAAAGCCACGTTAAGTTTGTATTCTCTTTCACTTTTGATTAACCTCTCCTCCTGTAATAAAGGTTAATGGTAATTTAGGCTTCATGTCTTAAGATTTTTCAAGCTATGCTGCCAGAATATATTTTCAGAATTTTAAAACATTCAGTTTTCTACTCCTTGGATCAGGCTATCTCTGTATTGGCAGGTGTAATATAGCTCAGCTTGTAGGATTTTACAGGTTTCTGTAGGAGATCTCTATCTGAATTTCTCCAAACAGTATGGTAAGAGTGGATATAGTTTGATGCTGTTAATTTTAGCATGGTGTAATGCAACAAGCCTTTGAAAAAAAAAAAGAAATCTTTGCATAATGGGAATGCTCCTCTTTGGGCATACACAATCAGAGAGCTTATGTAAACAGTAAGAAAAAACTGTAAACATCTTTTCCTATGTCCATTGTATGCACAGCAGCCTGGAATTGCATTTTCATAACTTAGGACTTCAATTTTTAGTGGTAATTTTGAGATTTTGGGGTTTATTGTTACAATATGTGCAAACATGTGCTCTGTGCAAGATCCACAAATATATTCCCTTTCCAAGCAAGCTCAAAAACTACAACCTCTTTCCCATTCTGCAGAGATGTCATAGAAGGCTGCCTTCAGCAGCTAGAGCTTCTACCTGTAAATCTAAACATTCAATACTGTTTAAGAAAAAAAAAAAAATAAAAATTACCTCTGAGACCACCCTCCTGCTTCCCACCAAAAAGTTAACTCATCACAGGGTGTGGGTTTGGACAGGGCAGGAGCTTCACTTCTCCTCAGGGCCCAGAGGGGAACATTCCAACCACCTAGACACCATCAGCTAAAAGGAATCTGGCACTCCCCCAACATTACATTAATTTTAAAAGTTTATATTAATCCTGTTGAGTACATTATGAAAAGAAAGGAAGAAATAGCAAATGCACACAACTGATTCTGCTAATCATTTGCCTGGGTGTTCTGCAAACCGTTTCTATTTCATCCGTAAGTACCAAGGTAGGAGAAACTCTTTTTGTACCAGTTCTTCAAATGTTTAGAGCCATTTTAGCTTCTAAGTGACCACTCTCTTGACTGTTTATTCACACAGTTCTCTGCTGTACCAAAGAGCAGTGTGATGTGACTGGGGGTTTTACAACACTAAACTTTTTGGCAATATTTGATCTAAAGGAAATCTCATTGCTATTAGTAAGGAGCAACTGGTGGCTGTTACATGGAGATATTGGTTCCAGATTCCTGTTGCTACCAAGCTGTTGGCCCATCATATGCATTTCATATTGGATGAAATATGGTGTGTTTGCATGTTGAGGCATTTACAGTTTGTTTTGAATTGGAAGCTTTATATCTAAGCAGATATCCAGTTGTGCTTTAAGTGACCAAACCATCTTTGAATTAGCAAGCTTTATTAAAATTAACTTGAATTCACTGCATTTACTCATACAGCCTGGCAGAACAAACAATATTTAGAAGCCTTGAGTACCTCTAGAGCTGTTCTCTTGAAGGCTCCCTGTCTGTGCATTACATACATGTATTTAGTGACACACAAAGGTGTGTGTACTCTGTTTTCTGTAGTCTCCAAAATCTGGAATCACTAGTTCCAGCTAACTGGTGGGCACAATCTGTATTGTATTTCGACGTTATTTGCTTCAGGCAGAGGCAGGTTGTTCCCTGTTGTGAAAGCTGAAGTTAAGAAACACTGGGGAAATGCCCATGCTGTGGTCTCACTGTTCTTGCCTGTGTCAACTTCTCCTTTTTTCAGTTGTTTGAAGAATACTTCATTTAAGAAAAACATGAGGTATGCTGGAAATCCATTTTGGCAGCCTACAGAGGGTGTTCAGGCTGGGGCAGTGATTCAGCAATCTCCTGAATAAGTAACTCTGGTGGGGGGGGCAATTGTTGCTCTGTTTCTGAGTGAAATTCCTGGTACTTGCTGAGCTCTGAGCTGTGGTCACCAGTTGGTTCCGTGAGCCAGGCAGGTGGAGGTGGCAGATCCAGGGGTTCGGCTGCAGCAGCCGCCTGGGGACAGGAGGCACCTGCAGAGTTTGCTGCTGCTGGAGGCACAGCCAGGGTGGAAACTGAGCTGCTGGCTGCGGAGCAGGCTTCAGCTGGTGGAGGCAGTTGGCTCTTCTCGTTGCTGGTAGTGCAGTGGGCTGGTTCCCCTGGTGCAGTGGGATCCTGCTGTAGGTTTGGGTCTTGTTTCGATTTCCAGGGCAACATAAATAAAATTGATGAGCGTTTGGTAGCCTGGTCAGAGTCCATAATGAGATCTGGAGTGTCTCCGTCTGCAAACGGAGAGCGACCTGCCCAATTTGAATCAGCTAGGGCTGGCTTCTTGCAGCTTTTCCACAGAAGAATTATCATAATAGCTATTAGCATACTAACCAGAATGATGCCAATTAGCAGTGCTGCTACCCAGCTTCCATCACTGGGCTCTGCCTCCTCTTCGGGGAACGGGGCTGGTGTCGTAACAGTCAGAGCTCTTCCAGCCTTGTGTGAACTGGGTCCAGTGGCTTGCAGCTGGTATAGAGGAGCTTTGCCTTCTGTTGGACTCCTGATACTGGTGTATGTATTTCTTTTATTCACTGAAACGTTTGGAGGTATTGCTGTAGAAAGTGATTTCCAGATTTCTCCACAGAAGAGAACCAGTATGATTTGGTTGCTGGCCATTTTCTTGCAGCCTCTCTAAATTGTCCTCTCCTAGAGCAGGAACAAAATAGAACACACTAACTTGACAACTGCATTTGTTGTATTGTTACACTTTACTGACAGCAGACATTTTTTGTACTTTAGTGAAAATAATACTAAACCTAATGTCTGAAATTTCATACCCATTCTATTTACATAATCAACTGGTTTGTCACTGACTTCACAAACAAACAGATTTTTCAACATTATTGATCATTCTAATTAAGTAACTTTTTTTGAAGAGAATGCTTGATTAGTACCTTTTTTCACCTTAGCAGAAAAGTCATCAGCAGAGAAGTCCTAACAGTGTTTCAAAATATCACCATTATCAGTTAGGTAAATGATTATGGGCCTGGAACAAACCTGGAAACGCTCACATCAGTATTGACAAACAGGATTGTCATGAGTAAAGACAATTGTCTTCTTTGATAGGTACAAGCTGAGGCTGAAGTAAAACGCCCTTTACAGTTCTCTTAAAGCCTTGTTTCCTGTTATTGCCTCTTTTCAGCAGCTAAGGGTAGAGTGTAATAGTTTTTTTAAAGTTTCCAGATACTGATACTGTGGTGAAATACCATTCTGATGTTAAACTGGTTTTATAAAGAAATTCCTGCACATGGAACAGTTTTTGTAATGGAGGAGATCATGTTAATGTTAAGTTGTAGGTGTGAAACAGGTTTTTTTTCCCCTGTGCTGTTTAAAGTTCAGGTCTCTGGGTGTCTCTGCATGGAATGCATGTATGGAATACATCCACTGCATAGTGGTTTTCTATCTGAGGCTGCTCTCATGCTTTTTGAGATAATTTATTAGTTACTATAATGCTGGTCATGTGAAACTGTTTCTGGGAAATAAATATGCATAAATCTTTGTGGGTTAACAAATATGCAAAATCAAATTTCAAATGCAGTAGCGTAAGCACATAGGAGTAGTAAATTAATGCTTCTTGAGAACATTGTGATCTAAATTCTATAAGGTTTGAAGCAGGTAAAAATGATTCAATTTCATTTTTATTCTTCTCCCCTATTTTGAAATATGCTCAAATAATACTTGCACACAGAGTTCATGATAGGTCATAGTAACAACATCAAACAACATGTGTTTGAAACCCTAATGCTTTTAAGATAGCAACATTCAGCCAGAGCCTTGAAAACACCCTGGAGTCGGGACATACCCAGGCTGCACAGGGTGCAGTTCCCTTTCAGACCCAGCCATACAGACACGAAGCCGCTCCATCTTGAAGCTGGTTCTTACCTGGGCATTGGTCTTCTGTCCAGCAAGCAGTGTCTTACTTCTTCCTTTGAAGCCTTAGGAAGACAGACTGTGTGCTGAAAGTCAAGCAGCCTAAAATGGCTCGTTTCATGTTGAAGTAGGTTTCTGCAGCTAAAGAGGAAGTTTGCCAACACTTGCTGCAGGAAGTGTCAAGAATGTGGAGATTATCAAGAGCCTTGTCTCACAGTTCGCATGTTTTATGAGCAAACTTTCCAGCTCTGTTGGTTTCATAAAACTTGTGGATTTTGTCTGGTGTGTGCTTATTAAGTAGAAATTCATAAATTCTTGCTGGTCTGTTTGTTGAAAATAGTTATAGTTACTTCTGTATGAGTCAAAACTTACGCAGGCTTGGACTGCATTTGAATCTTGCTGATTTAATTTCGGTGGTGGGTTTGGTGCACTGGCATCGTCGTTGGTGGCAGAGCACCCTGCCCTGCAGTGAGTCATAGGAAGGGATGTGAGCACAGGATCTGCTCACTGGCTCACACATCTCCCTTTGTGTAGCTCTGTTAAAAGGCGGGTGACTCCAGATCCCACCCTTCTCCTGCCCCCTGTGCTCCATGGTATTTTTCTGTCTAGACAACTTTGGTACCTGCTGCCATGATTAGTGGAGGGCTGTGCTCTCTGAGCAGCTGTTTTCCCCTCTGTGTGTTTGTGTCCATACCATTTAGTGTGATCCAAACAACTTCCTTTTGTCTCCTTGAGTATTTTTGCCTAGAAAAGCTGCCTGGCAAAAAGAGACCTGCACAAATATGCCCTCGCAGCATTTTGCAAGTGTGTTCTGCTAGTGCCAAGTGGCTACTGCCAGATCCCTCTGCAGCTTCTTCACCTCATCCTGCTTTTCCTGTTGTGCTTGCTGAGGAGCAGGGAGAGTGTGAAAAAGAGAACTTGTGCAATCAGAATAGATGCACAAATCCTGATCCCATACTGGCGTTATAACTCAGAGTTTCTTGCCTGATTCCTCCATCTCATCCCCATTCTCTTCAGCCCTTAGTCTCCAGCTAACTTTTGCCACAGTTCCCACATCACTGACAGTTCTTTTTTCTTCCTGTTTTCCCTTCCTTCCATTGGTAGGATTGTGATTTTTTTCTTTTTTGCCTGCTTTTTTCCATGACACTGCTGGTTTACCCCTTTGGTTGCTGTGTTCCTTTATGAAGACTGGTTCTCAGAGATTCATTCTCCTGTTTTAGTTCTTTTACCTTCCTAGCTGTGAGCAGTTTTACACCAGGTTAGGTTCTCATGGTTGATGTCTCAGATCCGTTTTTCTAGTACTTGCACAGCCTCTGCCATTGTCTCCTGTGCTCGTGGTCATTTTGGGGAAGGAGAAGGTAACTACAATGCTGCATCCCCAGCCTTGCCCCTTTGCTCTCTTTCTGCAACCTATATGAGATGTTCTCAGTTCATCTCCTGGAAGTACTAGGTTGTCATCACTGATCTGTCACAGTTTGCCCTTATTCTTCTCCTGGCCTTTCTCTTCATGTTTTAGAAATGCCTGCCATAAGCCCCTGCCCTCCCATTCTACTTTTGTGGTGTGTTGCACCTCCTCCCTTGGAGCTGCAAGGTCTGAATGTGTGGTTTATGACAGATTCGTTAGAATTTGCTCCATAGTTGAGTTTGGTAGTATGGTTTGGTTTGGTTTTGATTTTTTTATTGCCAGTGAACTATTTTCTAATGACTCCCAGTTCTGGGGTAAGCTTGCAAACTCCTTCCAACTTTACCTTCCTTACAACACGATCCACCCTTCACAGGGGCAGCTGCTTTTTTTTTGAGATCTTGGCTGCAAATGTTATAGGAATATAATATTCTAAGATGCCTTGTGTAATATTTTTTTAATATTATGACTTGGAGAAATATTATCATATAAGTCAAGTTATATAAAACTTACGTTGCTAGTTTATTTGAGATAACAAATTGAAACAGTTTTCATATTCAAAGATATACAAACTTCATATATTCATACACAGTAAAAACACAATAAATATGATTCAAATCTCAATCTGTTTCAGAAGAAGTTGAGCTGGTTTGAGAAGTTGTTGATGGAAAAACTTGAAAGGGCATTTTGTGAGGAACTAGTTTCTGATTCAATAATTGCATCAATGTTGTGACTGAATTATCATTTTATTAAAAAAGCAGCTTGGTTATACCTGTGTAGGTACATTTATGGTATGTTTATTAGACTAACAGTTCTTTCCTTATGTGTTTTGTTTGTTTTAAACCTAATTATATGCTTTGAGAATGGGCCAAGTTCTGTCTTTTGTTTTACCCCATTCAGCTCCCCTCACCATGGTTTCTGGTCAAAGGAGTGAAACCAGGCTCAACACTATTTACAGAAAGCTGTTTTACACAGCCTCACTCCCTTCTAGATCTACAAGTTGTGGCAGCATTCCCACTAGCATAAAAGGAAGACCCCTAAGATCTGAATTTAGGCTTACTGTGTTCAAATTCACATTGTTATTTACAAGCTAAGTTTTTGCCATGTATTAATGACATGTAAAAGGCAAAAGATGAGTTTTTACCAGAGTATGAATTAAATTTCAACTACAAAATTGGTTAGAATGGGTTTGTGTGATTCTTTCTTTTCCTGTTCATGATCTGTTTCTTTAGTGAGTTTCTCAGTTGTTTCATTGTTGGTTTTCCCTTGGAGTGCAGCATCTCTGCCTGATATCAGATCTTGCATTATCACATCAGTTCCAGCTGTCTCCTTAGGCATCCTCTGCCATGTTCCTGCTGCAGTTGGCCATAGACTGTTAGTTGCAAGAATATCACCGTTGCTCCTGGGCCTACGTTTTCCTTGCTGAGATTTTTTGAGATAGGACATTTTGTTTGCTACTATGACTGTTGACAGAAATAAGAAGGTGCAGATAAGCACAAGTACTGCTATGACAATGAAGCAAATCAGTATAAGAGACTTGTTGTCTTCACATGTTTCTTTTGTCATTGTACTCTTGGGTTTGCTGCTGTTCCTGGGCCCTCCAGAGACAGAAACAGCACTTTGGGCAGGGGGGGTTGTTGGATTTGGGGCCGTTGTGGAGGAGGAGGCTTGCAGGGTGCTTGTCTGTGTTTCAAACATAATCGTTCTGCTGCTGAAATTCATGCTCAGAGGAGAATTTGTATTGGCTTCTGTGATGTTCTGGCTTCCCCTTATGTTCTGCGTGGTAGGATTCCAGGTTTCATTTTGAAGGCCAGGATGGCCGATGTGGTTCGCGCTTGTTTGCAAACACAAAGAAATTAGTACTGTGACAGGGAAGGTGAAGAGTGATTTACTGTGTCTCTTTGTCTCCATCTTCCTGTTTAATCACCTGCAAAAATACAAATTATGGTATTAGTTTAGCAAATGCACGTACTTTGAGGTTGGAATTGGACTTCTCGGGGAAGAGCAGGCAGCAGCCTTTTGGCTGAAAAAAAGTGTAACTTGACCTTATTTTTAGTGGATGTAGGAGGATGAGTTCAAGTACTTGGTACTCTCAAAGAATAGGTTGTCTTGAACTTCTGACAGTTTGAGGTTTATAGAAAATGTGAAGATTAAAAAAGAACATGGAGCAAAGAGGGAAAGGGAAGTCACTCCTGCGCGGTGACGCAGAGGCAGTCTGTGGAAGTTCCTCCTCTGCAAAGCTGGTCATATTACAACTTCATCACTTCTGCTTTTACACGTGAAAGGAGAAACCCATGTAAAGTTTACAGATTACTGCCTCTAACTTTCCTGTATGCCCCCAAATGTGGGAAGTGTAACAATGCTTGTAAAGATGGTCAGGTGAAGAACTTAAATGTTCCTGTGAGTTACAGCAGTAACTTACATTGTTTTTATTTCTTACCACAGCTGACTGGAGTATTTTGTAAATGCCTAGGAAAATCTTTGTTCTCCAGTTTTTCTGCTTTATTGTACAAAAAGCTGTTTATCTTAAATCTACATCTCAATTTTTTTTTCTAAGACATGCTACAGATTATGACATTTTCTTTAAAAGGCCTGAGATAATTAGGCAGATGATACTACCATTAGTATTTTCTGTTTCATGTTTGTGTGGTATTCATATTTGTACCTGTTGAATTTATCTGGAGGGGAGAAAACTGATCTTTAGGTCAGTCTCATACTAAGATAATAGCTTCAAAGTAATGGTGACAAATGACAGAAGCAGTGAATCCCTTCACTGCTGCTGCTTCACCTAGTTCACACTTGTCAGACATTCCGAGTTTAAGGCTTATCCCATCCAGTGTCTCTCTCACCTGTCGCTAATAACAGAACAAAATGTTGCCTTTGAATGTTACAGGCTATGTTTGGTTCAAATACAAATGCTGTAGGGAATGACCAAAGGTAACAGTGCTATTTTTATAAATACATTTGTTCTTAAAGCTATTACTTTAATGGTAACAAAGCACATCTGTATGTTTGTGAGATTAGGTAGTTTTGAAATATTCCCAACAATGTTTAGTTTTACCATAGTCAAAAGTTAGCATGCCTGCCAAGGAGCTTAATATATTCACTCCCAAAAATCAGAGGTGTGAACTTGCCTGTCTTGCAAAATCCAAATGGCAATACTTTAAAAAAGGAAAACCAGCAAAATCAGCAAAAGGGTCCAAGTCCAGTGTGAACTGCAGTGTTCTAGATGGATGAGCTTTTCTTAAAAATAAACACCCTGCTGTTGTTACAGGCTTTGCTTAAAATCATGAGAGCAAAGGAACTGATCATTAAAGAGGTGATTTTTTCTTTTTAGTTTAACCCTTTGTGCCTAGGTATTGACAGGGTCTTTATGAGTGCTCAGTAAGATCTGCAATACAGAGGAACAACAGAGCTGAGTAGTGACTGTCACTGTTAATGCTTTGGAGTGTAATTGTGAATAAACTTTAACATTACTAGAAATACAATTTTATCATCTTCCTTAATTCAGTCTGAGATAATATTTGTACAGATTGTTACTATATTTGAGTTGCTTGAACATCTTTAAAAATACCTTTTGCCTATCATTTTCTACAAAATCTAAGAAACTTTGAAGTGGAACTTAAAATATGAGAAGCAAAATGTACACTTACCTTGCCAAGATGTACTCAAAAGAAAACTGGTGTTGCAGGCTGAAGTCCTTTAACAACAAAATTTCTTTGTGCATATATTTGCTGTTAGGATGCGAACGACCACTGATGTAAAGCAAGAAGCTATAGACAGTGCTGGTATTTTTTAAGCAAATCTGTAACTGAAATTACATGTCGTTCACTCTAAGTGGAGAACTAAAACCACAAAGATGACACACTTCCTTTTTGTAACAAGTATGCCATGACACGTTAGAGGGAGAAAAACACCAACTTGCCCAAATTAGCTCTCAAAACAACAGGAAGTAACACAGGAGGAAAAAAAAAAAAGCCCACAACGATCTTTGGCAGACAAATATTCTACGTTCATGAAATTTATCTCCTCAGTTATCCTGTGCTCAGGTGGTTTACCTCAGGTGTTATCCACAGCAGTGTCCCAGGACACCCAGAGAATGGAGAGTTCTTAATATTTATATGTGACCTGAATGTCTTTCTGGAAGGAGTTACTTTGCAGATAAATCCTCTGTGCTGCTCAGAGGTCTGACCATCCTTAGAAACACTCCACCAAGCACCAGAGTGTGCTGCAGTATGTAAAAGATGAAATGAGTTTGAGATGCTTTGATAAAGTCGATATGTGAGTGCCTGATTAGTCTTAATTAAGACTTCTGAAATGTATTTTCCTGCATATAAAAGTAGATTACAGTCTGAATCTCTACAGAGTTTAAAAAGCTTGAGGAACTTAGACTTTTATTTCTAAAGAACCTCTGAGCTCTTCTCATGTAATCCAGTGCACTGTTGTGCCACAATGTGGGTTTCCCCACATTCTTCCTTTTAGCTGAACAATCCTCCTGTCTGTCTGGAGGTTGCTTGGCTGTGGGACGTTGTGAGGCACTTCAAAAGGAAGTTGAGTTGAATCCCAAGTCAGGCTTCCTGATACTGGCCACTGAACTTGGTTGAAGTGTGAGCCATGACAGAATAGTGACAGATGCCTTCAGGCCCTAGCTGCCAGTCCAGTGTCATGTCTTTGGATCAGAGGTATTTTCAGACGTGTGTGGAAGGTCAGTCTGGTTTAGTGCAGTAGTCGTGTGTGTAATACACCACTCAGATGTTTGTGATGTGGATCTAAACTGCCAACCCAACAATGTCTGTCTTGTTTTCTTACAGATTCAAGACCGGTCAGATCAATGGCGATTTACTGATATACCATGTACTGCTCACTCTGAAGCCATACTATGCAAAGCCATATGAAATTGTAGTGGACCTCACACACGCTGGCCCCAGTAACCGCTTTAAAACAGACTTTCTTTCTAAATGGTTTGTAGTTTTTCCAGGCTTTGCTTATGAAAATGTCTCGGCAGTTTTTATTTATAACTGTAACTCTTGGGTCAGAGAATACACCAAATACCATGAAAGGCTCTTGACAGGTTTGAAAGGAAGCAAAAGGCTTATTTTCATAGACTCTCCAGGGAAGCTGGCAGAGCACATTGAACATGACCAGCAGAAACTCCCAGCAGCTACCTTGGCTTTGGAAGAGGACCTGAAAGTGTTTCACAATGCTCTCAAACTGGCTCATAAAGACACCAAAGTTTCTATTAAAGTAAGTCCTTTTAATGCTGTTCCTAGCGAGTTGTCAGACTTCTGCCTTTGTGTTGTTAACAACAGGTGCTGAACAATTTTCCACTACTCTTTCTAAGGTTGGGTCGACAGCTGTGCAAGTGACATCGGCAGAACGAACAAGAGTCCTGGGACAAACAGTGTTTTTAAATGACATATACTATGCCTCTGAAATTGAGGAAATCTGTCTTGTTGATGAGAACCAGTTTACCTTAACCATTGCCAACCAAGGCACACCACTCACCTTCATGCATCAGGAGTGCGAGGCCATCGTTCGGTCCATCATTCACATCCGGACGCGGTGGGAGCTCTCCCAGCCCGACTCCATCCCCCAGCACACTAAGATCCGTCCCAAGGACGTCCCTGGAACACTGCTGAACATTGCACTGCTCAACCTGGGGAGCTCAGACCCCAGCCTGCGGTACGGAGCTTTTAGATTAACATCAGCTTGGCTCAGAAGTGCAAGTTCTTTTCAAGGTTTTCTTAGTGTTAGCAGATCTCTCTTGGACAAAATATTGCTCCCTTTCTCCACAGCTCCATAAAATGTCCTTTTTAATATAAAGGAAGATTGGGTTTTCTGTAGGCAAAGAAAGGCATACCTATTGTGAGAGTAACCGAGAGCATCTAGGAAGCTTCACTTCTCCTTACAAGGAGAAACACTTCTGCTTGGGGATGTGTGTTTCTTAGGCACATGTGGATTTCATGGTGTTGAACTCCTTGTTCAATGATGTGGGATCTCGTATGTATGGGAGCAGGCTCTTGGATCTTGCCAGGACTGCCTGTGGCTGGGGGCTGCAGGGCCTTTGACATTCAATCTCCCAGCAGCTCAGGTGAATATCCTGGAGATATTCAGGATTTCCTGGAACTGAAAGCTGTGCTGAGAGGGCTTTCAGTACAAAGTCCTTCAAGCGCAGTCTTTAACTTCATCAGAAAATGTTTAAAGCAAGTCAAGGAGTAATTTCTCTCATTTTTCCAAGGCTTGTGTCTCAATCCTAACAGGTGCAGGGAAGAAGTTCAGGAATGAAATGTGATCTCATATATAGCAGTATTCATGTGTGATTTTAAAATGTCAGTACTACTACTGTGATGCCTCAGTGTAATATTTTCAAATCTATCTTCAAATGTACAAGAAAACTATTACAAGTCACATTGCTTGCTTTGTTACAGGTCTGCTGCCTATAATCTCCTATGTGCCTTAACCTGTACCTTTAATTTAAAGATTGAGGGCCAATTACTGGAAACTTCAGGTCTGTGTATTCCTGCCAACAACACGCTATTTATTGTATCTATTAGTAAGACTCTTGCAGCTAACGAACCACACCTTACCTTAGAGTTCTTGGAAGAGTGTATTTCTGGATTTAGCAAATCTAGTAAGTAACACTAGTATTCCTCAATGCTATCCATGAATTTGAAAAAATTTAGGTTGGTAGCTGCCTAGCTTAGTCAATTAAGCTTCCTTATGTTACTGAGTTGTAACATTTAAAGTGCAAATACTTCTCAGGGCTGTTCTAGCTGTTTTCAAGATTATCCATTTATATGTTTCTAAATGATCAAGTTGTGTAATACTTTCAAGCCAGGCAGTTTCACAAACTGGAATGGCATCTGTTGGAGCAAAACCATTACTTTTCACATTTGAATCTGATACTTCTC